TGAGCATGGTATATTTTTCCAATTTTTGTAAATCTCTTTTAGTTTCTTATAGTAGAGTTTGTATATGTCTCCCCATTGCCTTCTTGCCTGGATGGTTTCTGCTGAGAAATTAGAGCTTAATCTTACTGATTTTCCTTTGCAGGTAACATTTCATTTTTCCCCGAGCTGCTCTCAGGATTCTTTTCTTGTCTTTGATTTTGGAAAGTTTGATTATGATATGTCTTGGTGACTTTTATTTTGGAGTCTATCTTCATTAATGCTGATCTTCTCATCCTTCATAATGTTAGGGAAACTTTCTTCCAGCACTTATTTGACTATTTTTTCTGTGCATTTCTTAAGTCTCTTCCTGTTCTGGAATTCTGGTCATTTGTAAATTATTACTCTTCATGTTGTCACACATGAATCTTACACTTTCTTCAGATTTTTTCATTCCTTTTCTGATTGTTCTTCTAGCTCACTAGTATTGAGAAATTTATCTTCAAGCTCACTAATTCTGGCTTCCATTGAGTTAAATTTGCTCATTTGCCCTTTCAGTGTATTTCCCATTTCTGAAATCTTAGTATTAAATTTCTGGGCTTCTTTTTGCAGGTTTTGTATTATCTTCAATCCTTTATCTATTTTGTTTCATTGTTCCTGTAGTGCTTTTCTGAATTATTCCTGATTTTCTCAACCTTGTCAGTAATTTGGAGTTATCTAAATGTCATGTTCCTGAATTCTTTTTCAGGTAGTTTCCATAACTTGTTTTCCTCAATAATATTTTTTAGCTCTGCTTCTCAGTCATTTGTTTGAGCTCCTCTGTCTTGTTTCTTCATGTGAACAAAAATTGTCTGTTGCTTTTGAGACATTGTGGTATTAAGTTGGTGAATGTATATTGGTGATGTTGGTGTATTCTTAGGCACTGACCAACTACGTCCTGGTGGGAGTGAACAGGAGATGATGACCTTGTGTGCCATCCTCTGTTTGCTGTTCACACAGATCAGTTCAGAGTGATTTAGCTGATGTTGGTTGTAGTCACTGATCTGGTGAATAGCAGCTGATATTGGCTCTTCCACAATTGATGGGTTAGTAGAAGGTACGACTGTGGCTGGGCTGTATGGTGGTAGTTGCTATCTCATGTTGGGTGAAGCAAGAAGAAGGAAAACAAACAAACAGATCAACAAAAAATTTTGAAAAGTGAAAATTAATGGCGTTCTTTCCATCAATAAGTGGCATGCTGCACCACCTACTGGTTTCTTGCATTCACAGCTGCCAGAGAAAGTTCAAGATGGCCATGCTGTGTCCAGTGGGTCTGCATGGATTACCAGCCTCCTCTTCTTCCTTTTTTCCCCCTCTTTTTTTTCTTTGTGAGGGCTGGCCAGGCCAGACACTGCAGACTTGGAACAAGAACTGCCTGATCAGACAACTTAAGAATAGTTCCTCCCTCCTTCACTGGGACTCAACCATGGCACTCACGTCTATGCAACTAATTGCTTGAATAGTGGGAGCTTGCCTGGGGGTGTATGCCAGTGGAGGCAAGCCTTACCTATAGTCGCCATGGAAATGTGGGGAACAAGACTAAAATTGTACCTTTGTCTCTCCATGCCACAAGTAGGTTTCTGCAACACAAATATGATTTCCTGTCTCTGAATCCACTCACCAATGCTCAAGATGCCTGAGGCAGGTCCGCTCAGCCACCATGGCTCTGTAGTCACTTCTTTTCTGCCATGTCGTCTCAGCTCTCTCCTAGTAAGCATTCAGTCCACTTCTCTAACCTTTCACCTGAAGCTCAATTCTTCCATTTAGTTTTCTGTAACTTTGTTACAGAGGATCTGTATAACTTTTCTTTCTAGTCCACCATCTTGCCCCATCTTCCATAAACTTTTTGAAGCCCCCTCATATTTTAGTTTGG